TAAATATCTATGCAGTATAGAAAACTATATTTCACTGAGATTCAAATTCCTGGTCTTCTAAATTGGTTAAACAATTTGGTCTCTTAATGATTATTTTATTGTTTGATAAACAATTCACTGTGATGCTTATATTAAAAATGATTGTATATATATATATATATATATATATATATATATATATATATATATATATATATATATATATATATATATATATATATATATATATATATATATATATGCAAGGAATTCGCAAGAGCAGGCGAAATATACACAAACACTGATCTCTGGCTGAAGGAGACGCGAACCTACGAACCTGGAACAAGGTACGCAGTGCTTTACCAATCTACCCACACTGGACCAATACCTTGGAGTCCAGCTTGCGCTAGACTTTGATCCAAGGCAGCCAGCATTGTTAATATCTCTAGTAAGGCTGATGCATGCAGGGGATGAGATGAAAAGCTGTAAGCCTTCTCCCTGAAAGCTGGCTGCCTTGGATCAAAGTCTAGCGCAAGCTGGACTCCAAGGTATTGGTTCAGTGTGGGTAGATTGGTAAAGCACTGCGTACCTTGTTTCAAGGTTCGTAGGTTCGAGTCTCCTTCAGCCATATATATATATATATATATATAATATATATATATATATATATATTATATATATATATATATATATACATAATTATACTGTATGTAACCACGAACGAGTGGTATTTAATCAATAACAACACTGCGACTAGCCGGGGGATCAAACCCGGATTGTTTTAGCCCGCCTCATGGTAAGCGTAAATTCCACGGCGCTCTAACCCAAGGGAACATACAATCCTACAAGAATCACGCACCCAGCAGAGCTAGGTGTTGTGCCGTGATCCGAGTACATATGATGGTGTGGGTGCCTTCCTGTTTCGTGTACTAGCCTCCACAAGCAGTATATATGATATTGTAACCACGAACGAGTGGTATTTAATCAATAACAACACTGGGACTGCTCAATACGAGGAGGGCTAAAACAACACGGGTTCAATCGCCCGGCTAGTGGCAGTGGATGATTCTTGTAGGATTGTATGGTCCCGTGGGTTAGAGCGTCGTAGAATTTTCGCTCACCATGAGGCGGGCTAAAGCAACATGGGTTCGATCCCCCGCTAGTCGCAGTGTTGTTATTGAATATATATATATATATATATATATTATATATATATATATATATATATATATATATATATATATATAATATATATATATATATATGTATATATATATATATATTGCAAACAATCGCAGACAGGCGATCTTAACTCTGCAAGACAAGCCACGGGGGGTGGAAATCTTTAACTCAAGTACTTTCACACTTCTCAGTGCGTCATCAGGAGCTGTGCAAAGTTGCAAGAGAGCAACTGGAGGAGAAGTTTTCTCAGTGTAGCGCAGTGCGGGTTTGTCACCTGCCGCAGCCTCTCTGGGAATGACATTCCGAGAAAGTGTGTGTACTCACCTAGTTGTGGTTGCAGGGGTCGATTCACAGCTCCTGACCCCGCCAGGAGCTGTGTGTGTGTGTTTGTGTAGCAGACCATACCACGGGCGGGGTTAGACCCACAATCGTGTCATTACAATTTCGTGAGTCGTGTGTAGCAGGCCTATGGCTTATATGATGAATGGTTTTGAAAACCGAGAAGTTAAAGAATTGAGACACTTTTGCAACATAGCCTAGCATAAGCCTATGGCATAAGCCTATGGCTTATGCTAGGCTAGTCCAACTAGTGCCTACTCATGTACCTGTCCAACCTATTTTTAAAGTCACCCAAGATTCTCGCCTCACTGACGTTACTCAGGTGTTTGTTCCATTCATACACAGCTATATCCTTTCTAAACTTAACATTTTTCCAACTTGAACCCATTGCTGCGATACCATTAACTCGTCGGACAGAAACGTTGTCATAAGTTTCATTTCGTGTGCAGGTTATTTGTTTATTGTTCCAGTCATGGTATTGTGTCTTTTTATTCACCATTGCTGCGAGTTCTGTCTTGGTTAGTCTCAACACGTTGTTTAATAACGTGCCGAGAATATCTTAAGTTATTATGTTCTTAAGAGACTATAAAAGGGAGAGGTTTAGAGGTAATCTGCCCTTGAGCCTTGATAGAAGGTGGTCAGTCCCTTAACTGGTATTGGTTGGTAAGACACATACAATAATTACGTATCTTTATTCCGAAACGTTTCGCCTACACAGTAGGCTTCTTCACCTGAGTACAGAAAAGTTGGCAGGAGTAGAGCTGTGAAGACGTAGTTTTGAGGTGGTCAGTCCCTCAGCCTGGAGAATTATTATTATAATCAAAGAAAGTGCTAAACCGACAAGGGTCATACAACGTTGACAGCCTTGAGAAGAGTATTTATTCCATAGTCTGAAACAATGTAATGTTGAAGTGACAGTATGGAGCCTAATATACTGTCAGAAGGTGAGATGTAGGCCACTAGTAAAAGAATGTAATCATTGAGAGGTCACGTCCCTCTCATATCCAATCAATCTCACTTGTAGAAGTTGTCAAAGCTGTTTTCTGATCTGTACCAAAATACCATTGTGTTGCAGTGTCTGACAGAGTGAATATTAAAATGGTATAAAATACCAACAGGTATCCTTACTCCAAATTTTCGGAATAAAGACATCTATTTGTTGCACATGTGTCTTACTCACCAACCTGTCGGGATTTTATACCATTTTAATATTAACTAGTATTGTACACCATTTATATCACACGTTGTATCGCCCGCAGTGTGCAAATACATTTGCCAGAATGCTTCCACAAGTTTCCTTATGTTGGCATTGTGGCCAAGATACAACTTCCAGGATTTATAACACATTCACACGGCATTCTTTTTTTCCTGGATGGGACCCATTACAGTTGGCGAACATGTATATTAAGTATTCCATGTTCACGGGGAATTACTAAGTCTGAAGAAGACAGTCATGTTTAATATGAAAGAGAGAGAGGTAAACCTTTGGTACTTGACACTTGCAAGTGTTTGAATAAGACAAGTGAGCAAACACTAGGATAAATTTATTAAGAAATCTTTCGGTCCAGGGACCTTGATCATCTCTGAGAGGTTGTACAAGAATGGTATACAAAACCGACTAGATGAAAATATATTTTCATCTCTGAGAGGGTTGCCCGTGTTCCGCGGATCAAGAATCCCTCACCGGCATCAAGTCACTCCTTTGAAGGTCCACAGTAAGCGCCAGTACGTATGTCTGTCTCGCCGGAGAGCAGTGGATCAGCTGACCAAGTATATAACAGAAATAATGGTAGAATTACCGACAAAATGTAAGGTAAATGGACACAGATGCAACTAATGTGACATTTTATTGTGGCAACGTTTCGCTGTCCAAGAGCTTTGTCAAGCTGTAATGTTACGGCTTGATAAAGCTCCTGGAGAGCGAAACGTTACCACAATAATATGTCAGAACATAAGAACATACGTTGCATCTGTGTCCATTTACCCAATAAGTATATAATACATTTTAAACTCAACTCTTGCCTCTGACTACAAAAATGCATCTTAACTGCCATGACTAAAATTTGAGATGCGTAATATTTAACTACGATGTTCAAGTGGTGAATGTCATGCATGATACGTCATACACAGCACAGCTTGTGATAAATGGTTTAGAAAACCAACAATGTGAAGAATGAGACACTTGTGCACAAGTGTCTCATTCTACAACACAGCTTATTGTGCAACACATTTAATATTTTCCACTTGCGTATGACAGGCGTAACCCCAAGAGGTAAAAAATTCAATCTATTGCGATCGCAGAATTATGACGCACTCTATGAACAAGTAAGGTTTTGTATTAATTCATTCCTATTAATTTAAGAAGATACGTTTACAGATGGTTTAGAAAGACACGTAAGCAAACACTATGACATATTTATTAGAAAACGTTTCGGTCCTGGGACCTTGATCACTTCTAACATACTTCTATGTTAGAAGTGATCAAGGTCCCAGGACCGAAACGTTTTCTAACATACCTCTGTATGAAGATTGAGATACTTATGCAGCATATGGGATTTCCATATGCTGGGATTCCCATATGCTGCATAAGTGTCTCAATCTTCAACCTGTCGGTTTTTCAAACCATTCATCACATACCTCTGTATGTTAGAAGTGATCAAGGTCCCAGGACCGAAACGTTTTCTAATAAATTTGTCCTAGTGTTTGCTTACGTGTCTTTCTAAACCAACTTGTCGGTATTTATTACCAAGGTTTATACACGTTTACAGATAGACAAATAATAATAATAATTATGCCGTTACCAATATTAATTATACTCGTGGATATCAGCAACACTCCCGTAGCGATCATACATCGCGTGGGGAATGGGAAGCAAATTTGATCCGGGAAGGAGAGCTCTCATTCCTTGGATCAAGAGCCTTTCACCAGCACCAAAGGGCATACTGGAATAAAATGAGACACCTTAAAGCAGAATGTTAACTAACCTAATCCAACCATAACATAATCTTACCTCAAGTAAGTTTTTTTTTTTGTCTAACTGTACATTTTTACTGAGGGTTTTGTTCATTCTTTTTTTGGGGGGAAGGGGTTGAATCTAGGGAAATTGTTCCTTTTTTTGTACTCCAGATTACATGAACCTTCTACTTCAGTGACCTGCTGGGTCGAGCTACCAGCTTTGGGCCAGTCACCTGATATTACACCTCACTCTTCTTTCCGCTAAATAAGCTCTGTAACCTATATATTATTTGCTGACTTGTATAGTAAGCGAAACGTTGTCATAGTTCTCAAATTGTTTTTGTCTTAATTTATTCTAAGTTGTTGATATTCGTATACCCTTGAACCTACATAGGGTGAATTACTGAGAGGAAGGAGCTGGGAGGGTAGGTGGAACACCTGCACCCACTACCACCATCACAGCGTCGGCCTGGTAGCCTCCACTCATGCGTGGTACACTCCCTGGTATTGATCCACGCCGCCCTTACCAGAACGCTCCAGTTTGGCTGGCTTGACGCATTACTACCCTGACCGCCACCCCGTCACCACACACCACAGTCTTGTGAGGCCATCTCTCTCCCATCAGAATCATTACAGGACTACAAGCAGGGTCCGTGTGGACTACTAATTGCAGCAACGTGTGTGGCATTACCTCCGGCCAACGAGGAACTAGATCAGCTAGTGGTGGGTGATACCCTGCAGCCAACCACTCAGCCAACTAAGCCAACCAGCCAGCCATCAGCCAACTACCCCACTATCCACTGCCAGCCGCCCCGTACAGACAGTCGCTACACGTGTGTCAGGCGTAGAGGAAGCCAGGTTCGCTCGCTCTCCCTCTCTCTCTTTCTACCCAGATACCGTTCAGCAGACTATGTTTACTTAGATCAGTGTGAGTCTTAGAACAGCTAACCGTGTGGAACTTAATACAGCGCGAGATTGACTTTTGAAGTGACTGGGGCAGCAGGAAGCCAGTTCAAACACCTGTGTTTCAAGCCACAACAAAGCCCTCTCCATCACCCTAACTACAGAATCCTGGAGGGTCATAGCTTCCCCAGGCTGGCGCTATTCACATCTCGGTTTCTGAACAATATGGACGTTTTCTCAGTTGTTCTCTAGCAGGAGCTGCAGAGGAGGTCGCCTAGCTATTGTTACAAACGGACGCGGTTAAGAACAAAGCGACCCACCCGCTCAACATTATCCCCGTCCACCACTCGCTAGGTAAGTCCTCCCTCTAACACCATTACTTTTGTTTAATTTGTTGTTTAGCCAAACTGTGTAACAAATTTGTATCGTTTTTTTAACCAAACTTTAGTACATGTATTATTTATTTGTACCCCCTTTGATGCTGGTAGGCTTTGATTTAGGAATTGATCGGCTCCTTCTCTGAATTGAGGCCTGAATGCTTCCATCCAGGCCACAGCAGGTATAACCTGTGTTCAGCGTTCCCACAAATGGTGGTGGTCCTTGGAATTCATTCCTTTAGGTATTTCATGTCATGTTTTAACACTTAAGCCGCCTCACTGCTCGCTTAGGTAAGTCAAAACCATCACTGCTCGCACATTGTCTCCTCATGGAAGTTCTGATGTTGTAGGCTCTTGATTAGGGAATTGATTCTTGCTCCAGTCCGATAACCTGATTGCTTCAATCCCCCACAGCGCTGTAAATCCCCGGGTTGCGCTCCCTTGATTCATAATAATAATAATCCACCATTTTCTGCTTAATATCTGTAATGACAAAAATATTTTTGGGAATTTGGTTTTCATCAGTCTTGTAAATCTCATTTGTCATTTTTTTTATACGGTAAATCAAACATTTGAATTACCATTTTTATCTTTACACTAAAGTGGTCATTATAAATATACAGAAAGTGACGTTATGGTAACCTAGGATATCCAAACAAACTCCTACAACGCAATATCAATTAGAATAAATTGGCACTAATGCGATACAGAAACTATAAGATTACTACATTTCATTTGCACCTTTTCCCCATCCAATCTATTTCATCCGGCTCCAGTATGAGCTTAACGTTGTCATTATGAAGTTTTCATAGTGAAATTAAATGTCGGTTTATTCTAGTTTGTCGGTATTGCATACGTATCTACAAAATATAATTTTGTGTAAGTGATGAACTTTTGACTACCGCCCAGAGGATGGGTATGGCGTCCACAATAGAATTATGTAACTAAGATTGCTTTGTTAGGTATCCTAGGTTAATCGTCCGTTGATGTTGTGTGTCCACTATTTTTATAAATTTGTGTAAAAGACCGTAAGAACAGGAGCTCTGCAATATTCCTACTGGCCCATGTAAAGCAGGTACTAATCAAACCTACCTAATACCATGTGAGTCCAATATTTTTAATAGCTTCCCAATGTTTTACTGACGCTACTTGACAGTTTTTTCTACTTATCTGTAGCTATGTTGCCAAACCATTACTTGACAATTTCCTTATATTTTTTAAATCAGTGTCAAATTTTAATACAGTGTGAGTTGTCTCTGCATAATATTTTCAGAGCATAATCATTAAGCTTTTCGTGCTATGTTCATACATTTAACTCCTTTAGTCTGTATAGAAAGTGTAAGTTCAAGGCTCGTATTACGGGGGGAGGGGGTTAACTTCAATCGTTGTGTAGTGTTATCGATCCAAGGAACTGGAACTACCATTTCCTTGGGTCAGATCCGATTACCTCCCATTCTCCAGGAGCTGTGTGACCCCCTGCGGGTTTAGCATTTCCTCATGAATTAATCATCAGTCTTATTGGAGGGGGATTAACTTGATAGTGTCGGTACAGGTGGTATCACCTGGAGTAACTTCTTGAGGTCACCGCGGCCCGGTCCCAGACCAAGCTTCCTAGTTGCTGGCCTGATCGATCAAACTGTTAGTGCCCACCGCTCGCAGTCCAACGTATGCACCACAACCTGGTTGATCGGGAACTTTTGAGAAATTTGTCGAGTTCCACGCATCCACACGAACCAAGAGTTTTGTACTCATTGCTCCCATGATTTTCATTGGAGGTATCCTACATCGTCTGCCAAGCCTCTTGTGGTTGTTAGTTGGTAGTGATTTCGGTGTGCAGGTTTGGAACCAGTATCTCTTATACCTTTAATGAGTTTCGAGTTTTTTTCTACTGGAGCTCGGCCTTGGGCCACGTTCGTCTGGTCAGTGTTTATCTTGTCTTGATCTAAATTTGTCCAACTTGAATTCATTGTTCTGAGACATGTTTTGTTTAGATACTTTCAACATTTGCTTTTTATACCCTCTATTTATTCCTGTTTTCCATTTAGTCACCTCAATCATGTCTTCTCTAATTCGACGTCTTTCCAGAGTGCGTATTTAGTGCCTCCAGCCAGTTTTCGTAGGAAAGGTTTCTGATGCATGGTATCAACGTCATCATTCTCTCTCTCTCTCTCTTATAATTTATATATATATATATAATAATATATATAAAAATTTATATATATATATAATATAATATAATATATATATTATATATTATATAAATATATTTTTATATTATATTTATAAATATATATATATTTTATATATTATTATATTATAATATATATTATATATTATATATATATTATATTATATATTATAAAATATTATATATATATTAAAAATTATATTTTTTATATATTAAAATATATATATATATATATAATATTATATATATTAATATATATTATTATATTATATATATATATTATATATATAATATATATATATATATTATTATAAATTATAATATATTTTATATATATATATATTTATATCTATTTATATTTTATATTTTATATATAATATTATATATATAAAATATAATATATATATATATATTATATATATATTTTATATAAATATATTATATATATAATTTTCATATAATATAATTATATATCTATACTATATATATCTATATATATATATATATATATATATATATCTCCCCATCAATGTCCATTCTGTAATCTGGAGACCAGAACTGAGCAGGGTAATCTGAATGAGACATGCAACAGTTAGGTATATTTATTTCGAAACGTTTTGCCTACACAGTGATGGACTGATTACATCGTCTTCAAGTCTCTTCTGCTTCTATCAACTTTTCTGTACTCGACTGAAGAAGCCTACTGTGTAGGCGAAACGTTTCGAAATAAAGATACCTAACTTTTGCATGTGTGTCTTGCCTAACAACCTGTCGGTATTTTATACCATTTTAATGTTCAATCTGAATGAGACCTAACCAGAGATATACAAATTGAAGTATAGCCTCAGGACTTCTATTGTATATAGTTCTTGATACGAATCCAAGAACGAGATGAATAAGTATTTTTTAAATAATGCTAATAGGCAAGAAGCCTGTTAGCTGTATTTGAAAAACGCATATTCATCTCGTTCCTGGTTTTAAATTTCTGCTAACCAGAACGCCAAAATTTTTGCCATATTCAGTTTGACTAAGATTTACATTATTAAACTTAGTTGTACCATTATTTCTTTCTCGGGATTAGAGCCTTACATTTGTCTGCATTAACTGTATGTCAATTCAGCCAAAGCATCAACCTGTCCAGGTCATCTTGTACCTGTCGGGCTCTAACCAATGGTGATAGACGAATGCACGTGTATGAAACGTTTGACTAATTTTCGCCCACGCATGGGCTGCGGAAATAGGAAAACTCGAAACAACTCTCAAATTATATTGATACAGCTGGCGGTGTACCGATGACTGAAAATTTAATAATACGCTTAGGCTACGGTCTATCCAGGTTCGGCGTAGGTTTTTGATAAGCGCACATGGGTGTCTGTAGAAACTTGGGCATTATAGGGAATATTTTCTGCTTGATTTGATGTAAACTTTAACGAGTCTGCTGTTTTTTTTCGGATTGTACGTTAGTTATTTTTTCTTAATGTTGCATGTTATGAAAGTGCATGTTTTTACCGAGCACCGAATAACCTTTTCTGCCAGCGTTCTGTATATCCCAACTTATTATCTCACACTATCTTCTCCCCGCACACGCCATCCCTTCAACTTAGCCTGACTGAATATCAAAATGGCATGCAATACCGACAGGTTGGTAAGTAAGACACATAAACTAGGCTCCTGCCTACTTTATGTACTCGACTGAAGAAGCCTACTGTGTAGGCGAAACGTTTCGGAATAAATAACTAAATGTTGCCCATGTGACTTAGCCTCGACTCTTCAACTCTTGTCTGGCAGTTACGTGTTCTGTATCTCTAGGCGGCCTTCAGGCACCCTAACGAGCAGAGGTGAGTTCATGGCCAGACCCAGAGTAGCCTGAAGGTTCGAAAGTCTGGGTGTGACTGAATAGAGCTGTTTTCTTCTGATGGCTCTCCAGCACGCTTGTCATTAACCACCCAAATTAGTTCAGCACCTATTCTCGTCACTTAGTGTTTTTGTCATGCCGTTTAGAACCTCCACTGTTTACCACTCTGGGCATTTGACTGCTCCGGAAAGCTTCTCATGGCTCAAAATGGGTCGCATTTATATCATCGCCTGATGAAAGGCTCTGGTCGGGAAAAACCTCTCGTGAAGAAAGATAAAAAATAGCTTGGTTTCCATAAAGGTTTCTCTTAGCTCTTAACTTTTCCAATAAAATTATTTGTATTAAAAAAATTAAGTTTCCCAATTGTATCGGGTAAACAAAATTGCAAGGAATACAGGTATATTTATTTCGGCTAATCAGAAATATAATAGCACAAACTCCCACAGGCTCCTTGATACTGGTGAGGGACTCTTAAGTGAACCTGTGCTCCAGCTCCTTTAATAGTGTGAATGCCTTTCATTCGCCCATGCTCTGTGACCCTGCGGGTTTAGCGTTCCCCCATGAATAGTAGTAGTAGTAGTGGTGGTTGAGCACTGGCGGGTAATTTGGGTTTATTCACCTACTATGATATGCACCATATTAGGGAGTGGGCCGCTAGCTGGGCTACTCGGCTAATACTCATCCATAACGAGCAGCAGGACGTTGCTGGGACGTAACACATCATCGACGTCCGGCCCATTGATCCCGGCGGAATTATATTTGGTTCTATCATTATTCCCTGGAGAGGTGCGATGTCTCCCAAGTCATTTGGCATTCTCAACAAAGAGCCGAGAATTAGTAGCTGTAAAATTGAGCTATATGTTATTAAGGCACTGGAAGGATCCATTATTCAGTGGAAAATGCATAACCAGTGGGGGGGGGGGGTATAGAGCAG